GTTCAGTTTATAGCCACAAAATATAAATTCATAACATACATAATTTTGAATTTTGCCATATGGAGTTGTTGCACTCTAAGACTTTTCTAGACAGAATGATGAAATTACTTGTATAGTATTTGAAGACTTGTATTTATATTTTCAATGGCTATTGGACTATACCATTGATGGCGAACCTATGACACGTGTGTCAGAGGTGACACGCGAACTCATTTTTTTTGGTTGATTTTTCTTGGTTAAATGGCATTTAAATATATAAAATAAATATCAAAAATATAAATCTTTGTTTTACTATGGTTGCAAATATCAAAAAATTTCTATATGTGACACAGCACCAGAGTTAAGTTAGGGTTTTTCAAAATGCTGACACGCCGAGCTCAAAAGGTTCGCCATCACTGGACTATACCATTGAGATTACGTATAGGTGTTTTTCAAGAATCAATGTTCTCGATAGTTTTCTACACTCACGAGGTCAATTTCCTCATTGCTAAGTCACTCCCAGGCATTCCATAAGTAAACTATTCCCCATCACTCTACCAAAATTGCTCTATTGCAGCGATTTTGGACTGGTGTGCTGCAAGAATTTTTAAAACATGCAATACCTGACTACTTAGGGCACTAGCCTCTTTTCCCTTAGATTGTCAAATAAAAAATGACAATGGCCAACACAACATCTGGTGTGAATGAATCAAAATTATATCTATTTTTTTGGTCAGATCAGCAAAAATTCTGGTGTGCCTCAGAATTTTAGTAATTAGTTTGTGTGCCATGAGATGGAAAAAGTTGAAAATCTCTGCTGTATTTTTTTCCATATCACTAAACCCTAGACTTATTGTTCAGCCTGTATTTTACTTGCCTTCAGACCATCGTTTTATAGGGTTGACTCTTCCTCTCTTAAAACATGACTTTCTCCATCTCCACAAGGGATTCACTGAGAGATGCATCTCCATTTTCTTCTGTGTTACTTTGAGACCCGAAGTACTGTGGCTACAGGGAGATAGGTCTTTGGAGCACAGACACATTCCTGAGGGGGAATCTCTTTTTCTCAAAGCCAGATCAACGATGATGAAAGTGAGGAAAGAGGCATGTGTGTGTGTGTGTGTGTGTGTGTGTGTGTGTGTTTGGGTGGTGGGGAGGTGGGGGTGGTGTGGTATGGGTCCGTCTGGCTCCAAAGCTGCCTTCCTGGAAACAGAATAAGCACGGGCTTTCAGTTCTGCCATTTGCTCTGCACCCCAAGGGAGCTGAGTGAGTTCAAGAGTAGAACATCAGAAGAACAATTTATTTAATGAGGAATGATGAAAAATCATTCTCCTGGGGCTTGAGAAACCATAAATACTTCCCTAGCATCCTCACCCATAGTTCAATGAGGCCTGACCAGGGGAAGACCACACTTGTGCCTCTCACAGACATGACTTTGTGACAAGTTCTATCTCCCTACCATTCCCTGGGTGAGTCTGTCTTCAGCATCCAACAGTCAGAGAAGAAAGAGTTTGTATAAATATTTCTTTAAGCAATGCCAGTGGAGTGGGTCCCCTGGCCTAGTGAGTACGGCGTATGAATAGATGTATTAAAAAAAGTGGTGAGGGGTCCCTGGCCGGGTAGCTCAGTTACTTAGAGCATCATCCTGATACACCAGGGTTGCAAGCTTGATCTTTGGTCAGGGCACATGCAAGAAGCAACCAGCAAATGCATAAATAAGTAGAACAACAAATTGATGTCTCTCTCTTTCTCAAATCAATAAATTAGATAAAATGTGGTGAGGGAAGGAGGTAGCATGGTTGATGATGTCCCATGGAAATTTTATTTTAATCTTTGGAATTTATTTTTCTGGCTATGCCTGTCTTTTTAGATTCTGTTTTCTCTGTTACCTCCAGCTCTGATGGAAACTCATTCTGGAACCAGTGACTTGCTCAGTGTCAGTAGGAATTGTCTCCGGTATAAAAAGTTTCCACCCCCCTGCTCAGAGCTTTCTGTCTTCTTGTGGTACAGTCATTCTCCAAGTGTGGTGCCCGAAGCAGTGGCATCAGCACACCCCGGGGAGCTTGCTGGAAATGCAGTCTCAGGCCCACCCAAGACCTGCTGACAGAAATTCCAGAAATGAGACCCAACAATCTGTTTTGACAGATCCTCCAGGTGATTCTGATGCCTTCTATAATTGGAGAACCTCTGCTCCAGCAAAGTGTCTGCTTCTCCTCCCCAGCCCCATCATCATTTGGTTTTTATGAGGTTATATACTGTACACTATTTAAAAAAATAATAATAGTGTATTGATTTTTAGAAAGGGAGAAGAAGAGAGAGAAATATCATTATGAGAACTGTAACATCAATCTGCTGCCTCCTGCATGCCCCCCATCAGAGATACAGTCCCCAACCTGGGCATGTGCCCTAGACTGGGAATCGATCCAGCAACCTCCTGGTATATGGGATGATGCCCAGCCATCTGGGCCACATTGGCCAGGGCTTAGCTACACTCTTTGATTAAACAAATATGTACTGAATGCTGACTATGTGTCAGGTGTTATCTATGTTGTCATTGCAATTGTGAATGGACCTATTTCCCCCCTTTCCTAATGATTCTTTGCAGAGACAAAGAAAACTGATTAGTTCTAATTGTGTTTAAGTTGACTTTAGTGTTCCCAAGTAGGTAATCATATCAGCTGCTAATCTCGACCAATTTTGTTTTTGGTTTTAAACTATTATATATGATTTACTTTTCTTGTCTTATGGTATTTCTTTTGAATTATTAGGTATATATAACAACAGGCATAATTTCTCCTTATGAGTTTATTTTGTGTTTTTAGGGTTTAATGATGGATCTTGGATTAATACTTAAAATTTTACTGTTCCCTTCCCATCAATGACTGTTAAATTTTATTACATACATTTATATTGAAACTATCATTATTTCTGCATTGGTCTGTTCATGCAAATACCTTGTTATCTGACTTTCTAATATTAAATATTTTTATACCTTTCAAATGAACATTAATTCATAAGGGAATATGTTATCTCTATTAAGCAGATAGCTTCATCTTACTCCTTTTTCAGTTTTCTGCATCTGTAGTCAATGTGAGATTAACTTGTAGATTTCTTGTTTATATTATAAATTGCTCTTGGTTTCAACCTTCATTCAACTTTTCCTGCTCTTTGAGAACAAACCATTAGATAACCAGGATCAGTAAATTTTATGACATGTGAGTTGAAATGCATAGCTTATGTTTCAGTTGTGGGAGGGACAGATTTTTTAAAAATATATTTTTTTATTGATTTCAAAGAGGAAGGGAGAGAGAGATAGAAACATCAATGATGAGAGAGAATCATTGATTGGTTGCCTCCTGCACACCTCACCATGGGCATTTGCCCTGACTGGGAATTGAACTGTGACCTCCTGGTTCATAGATCGATGCTCAACCACTGAGCCATGCCATCTGAGCAGGAACAGATATTAATAAAATAATTTCATAAGTAAATGCAAAAACACAACAATGACTTAGACAATGAAGAAGACTCTAGGAGGCTATAAAAGCATAAACTAGGGGGACTGCACTTGCTGGGCAGGGAGGGTTCAGGAAGGCTTCTTTGAGGAAGTGATATTCCAGATAAGAGACAAGGATAAGAATTATCACAGGAAGACAAAGGCATGGAGGAGCACCCAGCTGGGAGGGCAGTACTTACATAAGCATGGCTGGGGATGTTTAGGATTCCTAGGAAGGCAAAAGTGTTAGAACTGCAAGAGTGAAAGGCTAGTGTTGTGCTTAAGATTGGGAGGTTGGAAGGAACCCGCATGCACTAGCAAACCTGGAAAGGGTGTTAAAAGAAAGAAAAGTCATAGACACTGAGGCAAAAATCTTCAGCTGAAAGTACCCTTCAGAGCATAGTTGTGTTTGCTTCTGCCTGGGGCCTGGGTCTGTGCCATCAGGACCACTGAGACTGAATTCTTCTGGCTGAGGTCCTAGGTGAGTGTGAGTGTGGGCTCTAAACCTGTGAGTGGCCACCTCGGCTACAGTGATTTTTGAAGCCTGACTCTTTCTGACATTTCTTGGATGAATTTTCTTTCTTTTTTCTACCCAGTACTACTGGGCATTGTGTGAAAGTGTTTTTAACTTTTAATTTTTACATTATTTCAGGTTTGAAGAAAGGTTGAAAGAATAGTTCCTACGTATATCCTTTGCTGGATCCCCCAAATGTTAACATTTTTACCACCTTAACTTTTATCTTTGCCCCGTTTTCTCTGTCTTCCTTCTGTGTGCATGTGCTTTTTTCCAAACCATTTGAGAATAAGTTGCACCTCTAAATCGTTGGTATTCCCTAAAAACAAGGACATTTTCCTCACACAACCTCAGTACAATGATCAAAATCAAGAAATTAAAAAAAAATTAACAGTGATATAATACTGTTATTAAAGTTACAGACATCAGTCCTATTTGGACAATTATCCTAATAATGTCATCTATAGCAAAAGAAAATCCAAGATCACACGTTACATTTGGTTAACATCTCTTTAGGCACCTTTCATCCAGAGCAGTTCCTAGACTTTCTTTGAATTTGAATGCCCCTCATTTTGGCTTTGTCTGATGCTCCTTAACCTGTAGATTGAAGTTCCTGTATCTTTGGCAAAAGTCCCACAGTAGTCGCATTGAGTCCTTTCTAGTGCCTCCTACCAGGAGGTACATGATGTTGATTTGTCCCATTTTGAAGCTTCATGACCATCTGACGGGGTTGTTATAAAATGGATACTTAAGATAGGTGGTCAGGAATTCTATTTGGTAGGATTCCCTTTTGGTTTCATTGTTATAAAATGGATACTGAAGATGAGCGGGTGGGACAAGAGACTCCATTTTTTAGGATTCCATTTATAAGTGAATAGAGACCCGACTCTTAGATAAAATGACAGTCTTTATCAATAACTTGCGTGAAAGGCATCGTCAACATTTCTGGTATGTGAAGGGTGCCAGTTTGTGCTAATTCATGTTGTTCCGGTCTCTTCCATCATAGATATATCAGCCACATGAAAGCAGGAAACAAAACAGGAATTTTAGTGTTCACCCTCCTTGGACTCTCTGAGGATCCAGAACTGCAGCCCCTCATCTTTGGACTGTTCCTCTCCATGTACGTGGTTACTGTGCTTGGGAACTTGCTCATCTTCCTAATCATCAGCTTTGACTCCCACCTCCATACCCCCATGTACTTCTTCCTTTCCAACCTGTCCTTGGTTGACATCTGTTTCAGCACCACCATAGTCCCCAATATGCTGGTGAGCATCCAGACAGAGAACAAAGCCATTTCCTACATGAACTGCCTCACTCAGGTGTATTTTTCCATGTTTTTTCCTATCCTGGACACCCTACTCCTGACCATGATGGCCTACGACCGGTATGTGGCCATCTGTCAGCCCCTGCACTACATGGTCATCATGAACCCTCGTCTCTGTGGTTTGCTAGTTTTTATTACTTGGTTCATTGGTGTCATGACATCCCTCCTCCATATCTCTCTGATGATGCATCTGAATTTCTGTAGAGATCTTGAAATTCCACTTTTCTTCTGTGAGGTGACACAGATCCTCAAGTTGGCCTGTTCTGATACCTTCCTGAATAGCATACTGTTATACTTTATGACTGGTGTGCTGGGTGTGTTCCCCCTTTTGGGGATCCTATTGTCCTACTCAAGAATTACCTCATCCATAAGGAAGATGTCCTCATTGCAGGGAAGGCAAAAAGCATTTGCCACCTGTGGGTCTCATCTCGCAGTTGTTTCTTTATTTTATGCAACAGGCATTGGGGTCTACTTCAGTTCTTCGATGATTCACTCTTCCCAGAAAATCTCAGTGGCCTCAGTGATGTACACTGTGGTCACCCCTATGCTGAACCCCTTCATCTACAGCTTGAGAAACAAGGATGTGAAGGGCGCCCTGGGAAGGCTTCTTAGCAGAGCATTCTCTTGTCTGTGATAAATCCATTGGTCCTGGGACTGAGAAGGTTTGTGAGTACCAGTGGCAAACACTTTTATTCTGAAGTTCTTACACTTGAATATCTCAAAGGATCTTATTCTTTTATCCAATTCTTAAGGATCTATGAATTTGCTCTCTCTCAGTTTTTTACACACATTTAAACAACTAATCTCTGAGCAATTTCTTTGATGACATTTTTGTCCTATTGGTTGTCCAAATATTATGTCCTTGGTCTTATTCCTTACCTTCACACTCGTGAGTTCTAAACTTAGATTTAAGGCATTTACTATATCTTTGTTAACTCAAATGTTGGCCTAGAGAGTTTAAAGTGACTGTTCACTTTATTTCTATGTGTTTGATTGTGAATTGTGTTATTTGTGTGTATCACCAACAGTGTTGTTGTTGTTTTTTTTACTGTTTTTTAAATAAAGTATAATTAAAATACATATCAAAATAAAGTTGATGTGTTAGTACTTATTATATGATGAGCATGTGCTGATTTTTCTCTGTTATCTTATGTAATCTTCTCAATAGGAAAAATTACTGTCCCCATTTTAGAGGTGATAAAAATGAGACTCTAAGAAAGCAAAAAACAATACAAAACTTTCCCAAAGTTACAGAGAGACGAGGGACCCAGTGGCAAAAGCAGGATTCAAACCCAGAACGCTAACCCTGAGCCATAGTCTAATCTAACAGTCTTCACAGTTTTCCACATGGATTTTGATGATGTGCACATCTCTATGGTAGATTTTACTGCTGATTGGCAATATTTCTAATTATTCTCTCCTATTGGACACCCAACAGAATTGCACTTCCTTTCTCCTTGAAGGTTAAGGTGGCAATATGTTTTTATCTGCCCAATAAAACATGAGTGGAATTGATGTGTTCCTTCTAGGCTGCTATATTTAAGAGCTGGTAAATTATTCTCTATATTCACTCTGCCTTTGATATGGCTATTGTGGAATAAGGTTATCATAAGATCAAAATAGTCTAGAAAGCTGGCAAATACATGTAGGACTTTCCTGGATAGTTATTCAAGTCCATATATAAATTATTTTTTAAATGTAGAATACCAGGAATTCCATTAGTGCCACAATTCATAATCTTTCAGTGTGATATATCTGTGATATGATATGAGAGGAGTATTTTCAGCTTAGCCAACTGCTAATATATTTACCCGGAATATTGCTAGGTTTTCTTAAGGATCTACTCCTACCTATTCCTTGGAGACCTCAATATCTCAACATCTTGGTCCCTCTCCCATGTCCAACATGAATAGTTCAAAAGTCTCAAGGCTCTACCTATCATCCAGTGTTGGTGATGTATTCAGTGACAAAGAGACATCAGATTATCACCAGGTTACTTTGTTTATGTTATGGGGTAGGGGACTGAGTCATGAAAAAGTTACAGAATGTTACAATGTTATAGAGTAAAGGGTTACGGAATGTGTTGAGGGGGGGAAATGAGACATGAGAAATTGAATGTGCTCGGAGGGAGAGGGGGGATGTATGAGTAAGAAGTGCGTCAGGGTCAGTGGAAGAAGGATTGTTAGATTGTCTTAGAAAAACAATGTGTTATTATATGCTCCAGCCAGGTGTGACTCTGTTTAACCTTAATGGAATGCTTTGTAGTTAATTTTTCTTAACACTGTCTTGCTATAAAGGATCATACTGCACCCTTGGTCTCTGCCACATGCTGCAAACCTTCCCAGAGGGGGAAGGTACGGGCTGTGGTCAGTTGGCCAGCTTAATAAAGGCTATGAAATTTAAATTCTGAGTCGGTGGTCTATCTCGTTGAGCCAACCCATAACATTTAAAGAAAAAATTAATATTCCAAGAAAAATTTGTCATACGGCTTAGTGTTAATATATGTAGTATATCTTATGTCTGTCTATCTACATCTATCTATCTATCTATCTATCTATCTATCTATCTATCTATTCATCTATCTATCTAGTCACATAAAATTTCCCAGGGCTGTGAGACCAGAGAAAGAGGCTGACAACTCTGTCAAAACATTGAGAATTCATGAAGGGAGTTTGCATATAAGGCTTGTCTTGTGCGGCCGCTAGGCAACATGCAGATTGTCCATGCCACATGGCAGATGCTGAGTTATCTAGGACGGGCAAGATGGATGGAGTACTGAGGCATGACCTGCCCCAGATAAGGAGAAAAAACCTTACATGCTTGCCTGGGGAAGGGCAACAGCCTATTCCAGGAAATGGCACTCCTGGGGCATAGGGGAAGGGTCAGACAGTCTCTGAGAAGATTTATGGGAAGCAATCTCTGTTCTGTCTGGAATCTAGCTGGATCTAGATTCTAGATAAAGGTCCAGCTACAGTCATGTTATTGAACAGCCCTCCACCCTATCTATCTTTCTGCCTATCTATCTATTATCTATCATCTATCTATCATCTATCTATCATTTATCTATCCTAGATTTCAGCCTAAGGCACCAACATGTACCTGAGCTCTTCCCTCTGAGTGTCTTAGTAAATGAGGACGTTTTTATGGAGAAGATGAAGCAGGGTGTGTCTGAGTTTGGACAAGCCAGTGGGCACAATGAAACATTTTCAGGGACCAAAGATGGTTCAATGATAAAAAAAAAAAAAAGAATCACACAGAAATATATGAGTGAGAGAAGTGGAAATGATAAAAAAGTAGAAAGTCTTATGTGGGCATGTGTTTAATATCATTTAATATTATAACTGCCATAATAACTATATTGACTTTGTAACTATGTATAGTCAATACAATCATACTTAATATAAATATTTCTTGTTTTTAAAATTAATTGATTTATGTTTTTATTTTTAATATTTACTGACTCATTCTTTTATTAGATTTATTTTCTTAATTTTTCTAAATATTTAAAACAACACTTTTAAGTGCTTGATGGTAAAAAAATGTGATATATAATGATGTTAGAAAACTTGGAAAATACAAATAACGAGAGATATGGTAGGAAACCCAAAGGATAACCACAATTTACATTTTGAGGAATTCCCATCTATGTGCACTATATGTTTACAGACAACACATTCTTTCCTGATTATTCTTTCTAGGCTGCAACTGGGTTAATAAGTGTTCTCCCACCACAGATGAGTTTGACAAATTTGATTATTGTTATATTTTAAAATACTTGTACTTTCAGAGATGAAAAGGAGAACTTTAATTTTGTTTCCATTCACTGTTATTTTCAGTTAAATTGCACAATGTTTAATACTAGTTGAACTATGGAATTATTCACTTTAAAAAGGCATGAGCCGGGGTGCTGGCGATTAAACCCCCATTTTTTATCTTACTGGGTATATGATCTTAGGCAAGTCATCTGACTTCCCTGGACCTCAGAACCCTCTGGGAGGAGAGTTAGGATCACTCCACCAGGTAAGCCATTCAGAGATATTACTCAAGGGTGAGGGGGATTGAGAATGGATAGAGGAGAGAGACACTGAGTATCAGTTGTGGCTTTGAGGCCACATATAGTAGCAGAAGCTATAGTTCTTCACACTGATCCTCCTCTTTTTAGTGCATCTCATTCACCCTCTCCCCTAAAACATACACATTGAAGCCATGGAAGAGCTTCTCCCAAAACTTATACAAAAAGTTGATCCAAATAAAGGCGATAAACAAAAACAAAAAACAAAACACACACACACACCCCAAAATAAACAAATGAGCCCACACTCAACCAAAAGTCTCTGCACAGCAAAGGAAACCATCAACAGAATAAAAAGAGCTTCCCACCAAATGGGAGAAAATATTTTCAAACCATTTATCTGCTAAGGGCTTAATACATAATATACATAACGAACACATACAACTCAATTGTAAAATAATGAAAAATCCAGTTTAAAAACAGGCAGAGAATCTGAATAGACATTTTTCCAAACATAACATAGTTGGCCAATGGGTACTTGAAAAGATGCTCAACATCACTAATCTTCAAAGAAATATAAATTAAGGGGTGGGGTGAGGGTGACTGGATAAAGAAGGTGAAGGAATTAGCTAAAGAACATATATGCATACCCCATGAATATGGACAATAGTGTGGTGAAGGCCAAGAGAGGGGGAGGGAGGAGTGGGTGAAAGTGGGCAAAAGGGGAGGGGGGATCTGCAATAATGTCAATATTAAATTTTTTTAATAAAAAATGACAATGACATATCGACTTGCACCTGCTAGAACAGCTACTATCAAAGAGACAAGAAATAATTAGTGTTCGTGAGGATGTGGAGGAACCCTTGTGCACTATTGATGTGAATATAAATTGGTACAGCCACTATGGAAAACAGTCTATAGGTTCCTCAAGAATAAAAAAATACAACTACCATATGACCCAGCCATTTCACTTCTGGTTTTTTATCCAAAGAAAATGGAAACAATAACTTGAAAAATATATCTGTACTCCCATGTTTACTGCAGCATTATTTACAATAACCAAGGTATGGAATGTAAACAACCTAAGTGTCCATTTATGGATGAATATATAAAGAAGATGTGAGATATATATATATATAATGGAATATTACTCAGCCATTAAAAATCCTGCCATTCACAGCAACATTTATGGACTTTGAGGGCATTATGCTAATTTGAAAGAAGTTTGATAAAGACAAATACTATATGATCTTACTTATATGTGGAATCTATAAAAAAAAATGAACACATAGATACAGGGAACAAATTAAGAGCTGCCAGGAGTCAGGAGTGAGTGAAATTGCTGAAAGTAGTCAAAAGGCACAAAAAAACATGGTGACTATAAGAAATATCAAATCATTATAATGTATACATAAAAATTTAAAATGTTGATCTAGAGTGCCAATTAAGATGACAGAGTAGAAAATGTTGTGCTTACACCCCCCCCCCCCCCCCCCCCCCCCCCCCCCTTACAAATTAAATTATAGAATAATTAACTGGGAGAATCATCTGAAAACAAGCTGAACATAGTCCTATAACTAAGGATATAAAGAAGAAGCCACTGTTAAGATTTGTAGGTGGATCAGAGACAACACCTGCTGCCACTGCACCCATGTTTGGCAATTGAAAATTGGAAGGGATATCTCAGCTATAGAGGTTCTACCTGTGAACAAGGGGTCCCAGCTCCACCAGGCCCCCAAGACCAAAGCACTAGTGCTGGGAAGAGGAGCCCCCAAAACATCTGGCTGTGAAAATCAGCAGAAATTCCTTTCATCTGGGTGAGATGGAGGTTGCTGGAAACCCAGGCATCCACTTACATGGCCCATGCACAGACTCACTGGCTCATAGGCACTCGCCTTGGGCTCCAGCAGAGGGATAGCAACTCAGGGATGCCAGATGAATGCAAGGAAAATCTGAGTTGTGTGGCCTCAGGGTGAGGGCTGGGGGGACAGCT